TAACAACTGTAATAAAGTTATAGATAGTAAAATTTATTATAATTTACAAAATACCAATAAGTTAGTTGGAAAACGAAATGCAAAACTGATACCATAATTATATGATTCTCTCCAAATGAAAAGGCACCTAGCAATTCATAAACTGTTAGTATTTCCATAGTCTTTATAGTAACACATAGGATTAGCATTAAAATATACATAATTAGTCAAGTCATTAAAATAAAACTACAAGTCCAATTTTAATAATTCCTTTTTTATATTAATCATTGGTTTGTGCTTGACAAATTATGTATGGTAAGAATCATTCTCACTCTTATAGTTGAACCTGTAGCATAGTGCTTTTAGAAGGTCCCGATATTAAGTATATCACGTGATCAAAATTTATTAATAAAATACGATCAAACAAGTATAATTATTGAAGTTTCTTTTAAAACTTACAGATTTGAGCTAGTTCATTTAGTAAGGGAGATATTCAAAAACGTTAGGAATACATTTATAAGTTGCTAGGTGCCTTTTCATTTGGAGAGAATCATATAATTATGGTATCAGTTTTGCATTTCGTTTTCCAACTAACTTATTGGTATTTTGTAAATTATAATAAATTTTACTATCTATAACTTTATTACAGTTGTTATGCGTTTTCATATAAATTTTGCAGTTAAACCAATCATAAAATGAACATAACAATAATGATCAAGATGACTTACTGTTCAAATATATGTTCGGCAACGGCCGCGTCCACAGCCGATAACGGGTCGTCCATAAGGCATATGTCGGCGTTTCTGTACAGAGATCTGTGCAAAATAGTATTAAACATTATTTTATAATTTATATTTTATTTGAATTAATTATTAACTTTTTAATAAACAATTTATCACCTTGCTAACGTTATTCTCGCTTTTTGACCCCCGCTAACAGACACACCGTTTTCGCCCATTAATGTCCGGTCGCCGAACGGCAATATCTTGAGGTCCCGTTCGAGAGCGCAAACCCTCACAACCTCTCGATACCGGCGCTCGTCGTACTCGCGGCCAAACAATATGTTATTTCGGACACTATTGTTGAAACTCCACGACTCCTGAGCCGAGTAACTAACGGTGCCGTTGATATGTATGGACCCACTCATCAGTTCCAGTTCGCCCAATAATAACATCAAAAATGAGCTCTGTCAATTTTAAATAGACAATACATGTAATTTAATTTTGCTATTTATTTATAAGCATAATACAATTTACTTTGCCTGAGCCGACCGGTCCGATAACAGCCAATAAATCGCCAGGATTTATTTCGACAGATATATTATCAAGTGTTAGTTTATAATTATCCTAGGTGCATAAATAAAAGTTACGAAATTAATCACACATAAAAAAATAAATATGCAAAATAAACCTTGTTCCATTTAGCAAATATATTCTTGACCATGATATTTGTGGGCAACGCAATCCCGGCGGGCAATTGTGTCTTACGTCCCAAAGTAAAGTTTTGATCAAAATCGGCTCTACCTCGAGCCTTATTCAGCGATTTATACGTATAAACATGGTCGTGCTTTTTAGCTTCATAGTTAGATTTTTTGTCCCCCATTTCATCGAGCAACAAGAATTCCTAAATTAAATCAAACAACGTTAATGTGTTAACTAGACTATAACCCGTATGGTTACCTCAATCCTACGGCACGTGACCCACGACTCGGCCCCGAAATTGATGGCGTGAGTAAATATTTGATTGACAGACAAACGCAATATATTGAACAGGGCCATTATGACAAATACCAGCCGCACTGTCAACGTATGGCCCGTCATTACGAACGTGATAAACATGAAAAACAGCATAATCTTGGTCAATATCATGAAGGTAATTGTGTTTACCGCTTTCAGGTAATAGGATTTTTGTATTTTATCGAGTTCCATGCTAAATAGATTTAATGATTAAATAAGCACAAAATAAAAACACACTATTAACATTTATTTTGTGTATGTATGTTTATCTAGATAATAAAATTCAACAACAATTAAAATGTAATTTACTTTCTAGCTTTGTTAACTAGATCAATGAACCACTGTTCCCATGTGTACATCTTGATCACTCGCATACCGGCTATTATTTCGTTCATTAACCCTAGCCTTGAATCAGTCAACTTCGAAGTTGCCGCTCTATGTTATTTAAATAAGCTCCACATTAATACATAAATTAATTATGTACAAACAAAGCTCTAATTTCAAATAACATACCTTATTCGTTTAAACCTGTTACCTATAAACATCTGACACGGTATGTAAAGTACAAATAACACCAGCGATATGACAGCAGGTATACCCAAATAAGCCCATGTTATGCCAATGACCATGATGGTTTGTATGGGGGCAGCTAATAGAAAACCCATTGAGATACCAAACTAATCATTCAATATTTAATATTTGATTATAAGTAATGCCTATTAAATTAATGTGTGATTAAAATCATCATTAAATCTAACCTCATCAAATTTATTTACATCATTTGATATGATATTTATAAATTGGGCGCCAGTGCTCTCACCCAGTGATGATTGGCTTAATTTTAGACACTAGTGAGTGAGTGTGAGAGAGAGTGAGAGAGAGTGAGAGAGTGAGAGAGAGAGAGAGAGAGAGAGAGAGAGAGAGAGAGAGAGAGAG